TAGTCACTAATTGCAATCCTGTCTTCTATATCTGATATCCTGTTCTCACATTGGCTCATTCTGCTGTGTAAATTTTTAAGGGAGTTTTTTTATCTCCTGGATGTGTGTTTGCATCTGTTTCATGGATTGCATTTGTTTCCTATGCTGGGAATCCATGATGCTCCTCAGCTCCTCTATATTTTTTTTAATCTGTGCCTGCTGTAGAGTTATTAATCATATCTTTCATTATGGACACAATCTCTGTTGTTATCTGAGAAATCACTTCTGATTTCATTTTTGCCAGATCTTCTTTCATTGTTATTTCAGAAAGTCCTGGTGATTGAGTATCAGATTTTTCCATCTCCTCACCCTTTTGGGTTGCCTTTGGCAGTCTGGAAGTCTGGCTTTGAGACTTGTTTATGTGTCTTCTTATTTCAACAGATGCACCCTGCTGTGCCTTTGTTGAGGCAACCTTTTGCTCATCCATTGGTCTTCAATTCTTAGCAAGCCACCAAGCGGCCTTTTCTCTGCTGCTCACTACTGTGCCAAATGCTGGTGTCAGAATGGTGGCCTTCTGGATTCCTGTGCTGCCCTGTTGTCTGGGTAGGGTTCTAGCTGGGCCTGTGGACACTTGGGATGGTATCTGGGAGTGTCTGGCTGGGGCCTGCCCCCTTGAGTAGCTGTTGTCTGGGAGTGCCTTTGGCTGGTTGCTGTGCATCTGAGTCACTGGTGTCTGAGTGGGCTTCTGGCTGGGGTCTGCATGCCCTTACTAATGGTATCTGGCAAGACCTCTGGCTGTTGCTTGCCACCTGTGTAGCTCCTTTTTTAGGTGCATCTTTGGCTGGGGCCTGTGGGCCGAAGCTGCTGGAGTCTGGATGGGACCCTAGCTGGGACCTGTGCACACTTGCACAGCTCTGGTCTTCATGAGCTTCTCACTGGGAGCTGCAGGCTCTTATGGATGGACTCTGGGCAGGACTCTGGCTGTTGCTTGTGCATCTGTGCAGTTCTTTTCCAGGTGGTGCTTTGGTTAAGGCCTGTGGGCCTAAGCGGCTGGTGTCTGGGCTTAGCCCTGGCTGGGACCTGCATGCACCTGCCCAGTTCTGGTCCCATGCAGGCTTAACACTGGGATCTGCCAACCAGGAAACATTTTTAAGCAATGCCTTAACTATCACATTGCTAACAATGAGCTAGATGTATAATAAATGTTAAATCAGTGAAAAACCTGAATTACTGCATTGGAATGTGAAGGGGATCTGCATTAAGTTTGATTTGGGTTTGTGTGTGCATGCATGGCCTATAAAATATAAAATGATAAATAGGTATTATTATCTACACCAGACATTTTAGGTCTAAATATATGTGTGGTTTCAAGATAACTTTTAAACTTTGTATGAAGAGTATCAGAAAATACATACAAATTCACTTCTTCACTTCTGTAGATCCATATCAGAGTGTGTAAAAAACTTCCATGCTTAAAATGTTCCATGTACCAGGTTCAAATATGTTAGAGTTTTATAATGTCACTTTCTCAGAATTCAAATAGCTAGATTATGCAATGTAGATAATATAAAAAAAGTACAATATGCAAATAAATATGTCTTCATTTACATGTTAGCATGTGAAGTTTCACCATTCCTTCATCACCAAGAGCAAATGATTCCAGTCTACTGAGTGTAAGGTGCACTGTATGTTGTTGCAGCTCAACAGAGACTTCCATGGAAAAATCTTCTGTCAGTAGAAAATCTTAATATTTGAAGGCTTCATATTTTGTACACAAGCTTTCTGTAAGAACAATACTTTTGAAGTTTTTAAGAATCAAGCATACATAGCATTAGAGGAATGGACCAATAATCTTCTGTAGTGATATCTGAGGTCAAGGCACTATTTTACAGAGAATGGGTGGTATTGTACAAAGAATATTTACAGCAATTCCATTTGTGGAATTCATCCTGGGAAATTTAGAAAATGGATTCATGGTCTTAGTGAACAGTATGGACTGTGTCAAAAGAAGAAAAATTCCTTCAGTTGATAAAGTGCTCACTGCTTTAGCTATCTCCAGGATTACTTTTCTCTGGTCAATAGTAATAGTAATATTATCTGTGCTTGATCCTAACTTA